TCAAATCCTTTCATCTCTCTCTGAAACGTTGCAACTCCCCACGAAACTACCGCCGTTTCAGAATCGGTTTCTCTCTCTCCCTCATAATTGTCTCTTCTCCCATTAAAAACCCTTTCATCATCTTGAACAATCACATCCTTTCTTCAGTCCTTCTCCATAACTTTCAAGCCTCCTCTCTACCATGGCTGAAGATCAACCGATAATCTCCTCCTTAGTTAAGAAAACCCTAGAGAAAACCCTTGATTCTTCCGCCTTTGATGAACCATCTCTCACCATCCCTTTCTCAACCACCACTACTGAAGACACTTCCAAACCAGATTTTCATACACCCTCTAGTTCTCATGTGACTCTCTCAGACCTTTCTCTCATTCCAATTGTTGAGAACTTAGAAACCCCAAAATCTGATAATCTTTCATCTCTATCGCCTGAGATTCTCACTGACCAAAGCAAGGGTGGAGAACAGAGTAAAGTTCCACAGGTACTACAGGTCTCAGAGGTTGGTATTGATCAGTCTAAAGTTATTCCCGCTTCTGAGTTTATGGAACCCATGGAGTCTCAAGAAAAAGAGGCCGTAGAAAACATATTGGTCATATCTGCTGATGGAATAGTGTTGGGTGATCTCTTCTGTCTTGAGTCTTGGAGAAAAGAGACACAGTTGTCAGATGAAGCAGGAGCTATGGTGCTCTTTGAAAATTCTGCACCAGCAGAGACTACTGGGACCCCTCTTGAAGGACCTGGCCCTTTTCTTGAGGAAACAGGTCAAGGATCCTCTTCCCAGGTCAGTCTTGACCCTGTTCCTTCTCCACACTTTGATGTTGAGCCATTGGAAATTTTGGCTCCTGGTATGCAGTCCAGTGATGAAGAGGATCGAGATGATGTTGCCCTAGATGCATTCATTGCCAAGAGGAGAGCAGTAACCACTCCTGAGCCTTCTCCTAAGCGACCTACTACTAGGTTACAAGCAAAAGAGGCTTTTGAGTCTGCCCTGCAAAAGAGTAAAAGGAGTAACAAGAAGAAGAAAAAGAGCTGGTAAAAAATGGGGAGGTTGTGGGTGACAAATACATTCCTGTGGTGGAAGTAGATGAGGAAGTAGCAGAGGAACCAAGTTCCTTGGTAAAAAGGTCTCAGAAAAAGAAGCGAGAGGAAGGTGTTGCTACACCAAGTTCAAAATTAGTGAAAAGTGATGGAAAGTTGAAACAAGTTGTGAGTGAACAGTCTTTGTCTGATGAGGACGTGTTAGTAAAGTCAAGTGGAAAGGGAAAATCGAGTGTGAAGTCTGGAAAAAGGAAGGTGGAAACTGTAAGGGAACCCAATTCTGCAAAGCGAGTGAAGAGTGAAAGTATGTCTGCTAAAGAACGACTGAGGAACCAAAAAGTCTTGTGGGGTCGCACTTTTGACCCAGAAATATCTGAAATGGATGGAATGAGACAAGTAATTGACATGGTCAAGTTTCAACAGTGGGGACATCTGTTCAAGGTGGATGTGCCCAAAGTCTATGAGGATGAGGTCTAAAGTTTCTATGTATACCTCTTTTCTGTTGACACTGATCATATCTGTGCTTTGGTTAATGGAGTGGATATTGTGTTAGATGCTGCTCTGCTCGGGGACATTCTTAAGGTCCCTACTGACGGTATGTCTTCTGTGAAGAATGTGTGTGGGTCAAATTTCAGAAATGCTATTGTGAAAAAAGGTGCAGTCCAGCAGGGGGAACAGGTTCACAAGAAAGCTCTACTTCCCGTTTACCAGTTATTGTTTGAGCTGGTGAACAAGGTTCTTCTACCCCGTGCTTAGAGAAGGTCCATTACTTCCAAGTCTGACTTGTATCTGATGGAAGCACTGGATGGGTTTAAAGCTGTAAACTTGCCTGCCATCATGATTAAGCACATGCAAAAAGTGGCAACTTTCAAGGATGGAAGTCTTCCATATGGATTTCTTCTTACGCACATCTTCAAGTTCTTCAAAGTGCCCTTGGGACAGTCTAAGGTAGGGACCAAGAAGCAGACCTTCTCTCAAACTACTTTGGAGGAATGCGAATGTATTGAAAAGAATGGAGAGGTAGGCAGCACTTCGACAATCTCTTAGCTCATTAATGCTCAAAACAGTGCTACTGAGGAGATTCGAAAGTTGAAGGCAAGGAATGCCATACTGGAGAGTCAGCAGGCCCAAGGGGCCCCAGGGTCAAATGAGGAGATAGCTCGTCTGACCAAAGAAAATGTTGATCTCCGGCAAACAAGTGGAGAACCTGGAGGAGAAACTGCTCACCGAGCAAATGTCGGCGAATGCCCGAATAGATCTAGTTCTCAACACCCTTGCTGCAGCCTCTAAGCCCTCTCCTCCTAGTGTCCCTTAGGCAACCCTTTAGTGACCAGTTTCTGGATTAGTTTGTTTTTGTTTTGATGACTTTGGCAGTTGTTGTTTTTTTGTGTGTGGATGGGATGTACTTGTACTGCTCCCGCTGATAACGGTCAAATTTCTGCCTTTGCTGTATAGCAAGGCATATGTTTTATAAAAACTATCCTCTTTTGTTGTTTAATGTTTATGTTTCTCTGTTTTTCTTTTCTATCATGTTGTGTGCACATATGTGGCATGAGTTAGCTAGGCTAGATTTCTTTATGCTAATTGCTTGCTTGTGTATTTTTAATGATGCCAAAAGGGGGAAGTATAATTGAAGCAGGGATCTGATTAAGGGGGAAGCATAGAGTTAGGGGAACTTGTGAGGTACTTGTATTTTTAATGAAACAGGGATCTGATTAAGGGGGAACTTATGAGGTTTCTATTGCTTCATCTGGTTAATTTTGATCTAAACATGTGTTATCAATTTCTAAGTTTGTCATCATCAAAAAGGGGGAAATTGATGGGTTTACATATCTTAGCTTTATGTTTTGATGATATAACAAACTTAATATCAAAGAACCAGATAAGGAACCTGACACACTTGGTACACAACTAAAATCAACGGACTCCAGCTTATGTGAGTTGCTATGACTTCAGAAGATAGAGAATCAACACAGGGACCTGATACCCTTGTGTTTCCCTTGTCAAATATCCTTAAAAAGCTTGGTGTAGAGCATATTTTGACACTCAATGCAAGAACATGACGGTAGACAACAATTTCACCGAGTCTTTTAACTCATGGATCCTGGAGGCAAGACACAAACCAATTATCAAAATGCTAGAGAAAATCAGAGTCAAGGTAATGGAAATGTCGGCTAACAATGAAGGAAAGTTGAGGAGCTGGAATGGTGATTTTACTCCAAAACGTTTGAGGCTATACAATGACTACAGGGTAATTGCACAAGGTTGTGTAGTTGTGTTTAATGGTGATTATGGCTATGAGATAGCTGAGGGTGAAGATACACATACTGTCAACCTTGATTCCAAGAGATGCACCTGTAGGCTATGAGAGTTGAGTGAAACTCCATGTCCTCATGCTATCAAAGCATTGGCACACAAGAAAGTGGAACTCCTGACTGAAATCAATTGGTTTTACAGTAGAGAAGCTTACTTAAGGACATATAGGCATAAGTTGCTTCCTGTGAGAGGGCAAAAATTCTGGAAAATGGATCTTTCACAACATATGGAACCACCAGAAGTTGTAAAATTGATTGGAAGGCCCGAGGCAAAGAGAAATAAGGAGCCAAATGAGGCAAGAAAGAGAAAGGGAGAGTGGAGTGCTTCTAGAAAGGGTCTTCCAGTCACATGTAGCAAATGTGGTGAACTTAACCACAATGCAAGAGGATGTTACAAGGTAAATAATTTATATAGATCTTAGGATAAACTTTGTGTTTAAGTATTTAATTAATATTTGTCTTTTTCAAATTTGACAGAACAACTTCACTGGAAAGACATCACAACAGAGAAAAGGGAAAAGCTACAGTCAAAATCAAAGCCAAAGCGCAGTTAGTAATGATAACCAAAGTGTTCCTTATGAAGATCATTTGGATGCTGGAACACAACAATCATTTGCATCTGTGTTTGACACTCAAACTGGATACAACAGTCATTTCATATAGTCTAGAAGTTGAGAATGAAGAAGACCCCCTCTTGCGGCCAATGGTTGTGTCTGAGACACAAACATGGCTGGAATCAAGGAACAAAAATCCTATTACACCTATGGCAAGGGATAAGACAAGAAAGATTCAGTTAAGAGGAGATCACATTGGTGCAGCAAATTCAACTAACCTGCCTTATTCGCCAATCAAGTGCACATGGAAGGGAAAAGAGGCAATGTCATTAAGCCAGCTTCAAGAAGAAGGATAAAAGAAAAGAATCAAAAGTATGGGAAGCAAAGGAAAGGGAGCACTTGCATAATGTGGTTATGATGGATGGTTTTTGAAGATCTTGTGATTTTTGTTATTGAAATATGGCTGAAACTTGTGCTTTTTATGATTTCAAGTAGCTAAAACTTGTATTTTTTGTGATTTCATATGGCTGCAACTTGTACTTTTTTGGGATTAACCACCTGTAGGTTTTAGGTAGCTTTGAAACTTTAATCTTGCTATTTGTGGTTAACCAATTATAATGGTTATGACAGCTATTCTAGTTGAATGTAATGTGTTACCATGGATGTACAATCTTCGCTTAGTATCTTGTTTGTGTTGTGTGTAATTATGTTGTTTCTATTATTTATGTTCTCCTGAAATTTTTTGTTTTTCCCGTTTTCTTGGTCACCAATCTCCATGACCAAAATGTTAGATTTAACGGAATGAAGAAAACAAAAGGTCATTCATGTTGTGTTTCCAGCACCTTTCTTGAAAAATTTCCAGCACCTTTCTTGAAAAAATTCAATCACTTTTCAGTACTACTACGTCCAACAAATTCAATAGACTAGCAAAATGTGAATGAATTCTACTGGAAATAAATTCTTTACATACTTGTGTATTCCAGCAACTTTAAGGAAATTAAATCAACATACCAGCATTTTCCTAAGAGATTAGAAGGAAAGCAAGATCATTACAATCCTTATAACTATTCAACAAAATACACTACACAAATTAATACATTACATGGATTAACTACAATTATATCCTAAATTCATACTTCACAACAACAACCATAATGCAACGAATCCAACCAATCATCCACATAAGACACGAATTAACATCCACTGATGGGCAACGGTTTTGCTCAATGTTGCAATATTTCCGACATCAATAGCAGTAGCAAACTCAGCATCAACAAGCTTCTTCTTCAAAATATTTCTTTCAACAACTTTTTCGCTCAATTTTGCTATAGCTTGAGCCTTTACGCCAGCAGCAATATCATAATCGGCCATCTTCTTCTTCAAAATATCTCTTTGCATTTTAGCAGCTTCCAATTTTCTTTTAGGACTACTAATCAAAATCACAACTCTTGGGGGTAATACATCATCCTGCCACTCCCAATAACCACATGATTTCTTCTGTAAAAATAACACGACAAAAATAAACCCAAATATTTCATGAGAATCCTAAGAACCTAGAAGTAAGGCTTTTGAGAATTCAAAGAACGTTATTAGCCATAAATGAAGCTGACTTACCTTAGGCTTTGGGCACTTAAAAAAGCGCCGACCCGCATTTTCAGAAGTATATGCCATAAAATGGCGGGCAATAAGACCACAAAGATACCTCTTCTTCGACTCATATGATGAACTAGAACAATCAGACATACTTATCAAGGGACCAAGGGATTAACCAAGTAAGTAGGCCGAAAGTAATGGTGGAAGCCTAATCTAATTTGGAATTGAAGTAGGCTTGAAATAGTGAACCCTAGCGGAAAAACATTGGGGAACTCGTTTGATTTGGTATTTGGGTGGGGAGGGGTGGGTGAAATAAGTCAGGTGAGTGGTGGTAAAAAAATATTGGGGGGGGGGGGGGGAGTGGGTTGATTAAAGCACGTGTCATGTCATGTTTTTCGGACAAAGTAAATATTTGAGGGAGTAACCGTTAGTGGAAAAGGGTAGTATTAGACCCATTTTTTGACGGCTAGGTCATTAGTAGGCTCAAAATACAGTTGTACTCTATATCTAGTGAGAGTCCTGAACCGAAATGTGGTTCTTTTGGACTCAAATACTTTTTTAAGTGTAAAAAAATTACCATTCTATATAAAACGCGGTTATGAACCGCGTTTTACCTTAATGGCCGTTTGGCACGTTAAGGTAAAGCGCGGTTTCTTTCCGCATTTTATATAAAACACAATTGAATACCGTGCTTTACTGGAATCTGAAAAGACAGCTACATAAAGTTCGGTTCATTACTGCGTTTTATATAGAACGCAGTAAGAAACCGCATTTTACATATTTACCGTGCCCACCAATAACTCTTCTGCGCTTAACTGACATAATAATAATTCAAATATGTAAAATGCCCTTTTAAACTGCGTTTTACTTCCAAAAATTTGACCCCCCCCCCTCCCCCCCGATTGGGCATTTCCTTATATAAAGGCGTTAAGGGTTTTGAGAAAAATTATTCAGAAATACTATAACTTCGTGATAAATTTTTCTTGTTGTTAAATTCTCAAGCTTTTTTTATAATGTCTAAAGAGCAAAAAGTAAGGGTTTCATTATATTGGGGGGGGGGGGGAGGTTGTGGTGGCAAATAACTCAGTGAGCTATAGTTATCTCCACAAAGTCATATTAAGTTGCCACTTACAATGGAGTACGATAGACTGGTATCGTTGTTATGCAATAAAATGAGGTTGAGCAAATGTTCGGTGAATCTTAAAATAAGCGGAAGATATCCGTATTCTGTGACTCCGCAAGGGGTTGCTTGTTACGCTGAGTTTAACATCAAGGATGATGAAACTCTGAGAGATTTTTGGGGACTCCGGATGAATATCGGGAACTTATTTTGATAAAAATGTTGGAAATGTACGTGAAGGTTGAAGACATTTGCAATAATGATGTTGCACAAAGCAGGGATAACCCTCAATCATCGGGTGGTTATTCTGGAGCAGTTTTAGCCCACCAGGTTCCAGCTGAAAGAGTTTGGGCGAATCTAAACTTATCTCCACGGGCGAACGAGGAGCGAGGAAATAATTTCTCTCCTACTTTACATAATCCACAAGACAACTAGTAAACTTCAATTTTCCTTTGTGTTACGATGTTTATTTTTGTTGTATTGAATTTGTATTAAAACTCATATATTCCACAGGGGGTACCGTCCAGATATGAATTTTACAAGTTATGACCCCACGCCCAGTTGGAATATGCGCAGTTTTGGTGTGTTGGATCACGCTGGTCCATCCGGGAGTCATAACCAATAGGATAATGTCCATCATGGAATGTCAACACATTACGACTTGTAACTGAAGTGATATAGCTATATGTAAAGTATTTATCAATTTGAGTAGCTTATCATTTTGTTGTTTGTGTAGTGAAAATGAGCAACTTGATGGTCCTGACCTCACTCAGTTGCCCGTAGACGACGTATTTACTCGTGATTTGGTAGATGCGCAGAGTCAGGAAGATAATAGTGATTATGACAACAATGTCGATGAGTCTGGAGATGACACACCCTTCCCTGACGAGGGTGATGCGGAGGAGGAAGTGAATGTCGAACCTGAGCTGACGAGGGAGCATGCTCCACCTCCCGTTAGACCAAGAGTGTACGAGTCCCACGTGCCGTTTCATTCTAGGCGTATTCCCTACCTTGATAATTTGCCAAGTATTCCAGATGTGGATGCCCTCACAAGGGATCTTGACAAAATTCGGTCAGCAATATGGGATGAGTCTAGACCAACTGTGCTGGCAAAGGGCATATATTTTTTTCGATAAAGCTCGCCTATCCAGGGCTTGTAAAATGTACAACGTAAGAGAGTGTCGTGAGATGATAGTATAGGAGTCAACCCGGAGGTATACAAGGTCATATGCTGTAGATGGTTTACGGGTTGTCACTGGATGGTGCTTGCGAGCAAGAAGGAAACAGGGTTGTGGAAAGTGGGTAAATATATTAGCACCCATATTTGTGAAATGGACACATTCAATAGGAATCACTTCAACTTGGATGTTGACTTGATTTCTCTTCTCTTGATTCCACACTTGGAAGTGTCCATTAGGTACAAGATCAAAGAGTGTATTACATCCGTCCACCAAGAATATGGGTGTACTATTACCAAAAGAAAGGCATATCTCAGGCGCAAACATGCATTTGAAATTATTTATGATGACTGGGATAAGTCATTTTCATCTCTACCCAGGTACATGGCTGCACTGAAACACTTTAACCCCGGGTCTGTTGTTGAATGGAAGCATGAGCGGAGTCCAGGAATACCGGAATATATATATTCAGATACGTATTCTGGGCATTTAAACCAACAATTGATGGTTTTATGCATTGCCATCCGGTAATTTCCATAGACGGTACTCATGTCTATGGAAAGTATGATATTAAGCTGTTGATCGCCGTTGTAGTAGATGTCAATGGACAAATATTTCCACTAGCTTTTGCCATCTGTGCCAATGAAAGCCAAGAGACGTGGACGTTATTTTTGAACCACTTGAAGCAGCAAGTTGTCAAACAAAGTTCAGGTATTTGTCTAATATCTGATCGGCGTGGTGGTATATTAAGTTCTGTAGAGCATTTGCCTGAATGGCAGGAACCCTATGCATACCACCGTTACTGTGTGAGGCACCTGAAGGCCAATTTCCAGAAGAAATATCCCAACAAGGACCTGCATGATTTAATGTGGATGGCTGCAACTGATCATCAGCAGTGCAAATTCAGGAGGCGCATGGAATCGATCCGACAGTTAGACGAAAGAGCCTATAATTGGTTGATGCGACATGAACTTCACAAGTGGACATTGCATGCTGATGGTGGCAGGCGATGGGGAACCCTGACTACAAATGTGTTGGAGTCTTTCAACGGATTATTGAAGTTTGCACGCGAATTGCCTGTCACTACCATGGTCCGGATGACATTCAAACAGATGGCGGAGAGGTTTGTTGAAAGGCATAGAGGTGCATTGGAATTGATGGACAGGGGTGTTGAATTTATACCAATACCGATGAAAAGATTTGAGAAATACAGGAGGCGAGCACATTGGCATTCATATTTACAGTATGATCACGACCGGGGTGTTTTGAAGTTCGCACCGCTATCCGTCAACACCGGGGGAAAATCTACATACCGTAAATGAAGCCAGCAGGTTGTGTTCATGTGGGAAAAGGACCATCTACCACATGTCGTCATCACATGCCATGAAGTGCTTTCAACAAACAGGTTTAGGGGCAACCAACTATGTTGATAGGCAATACAATGTTGTTGCATACGTAAACATATATAGTGGGCAGTTGTAGCCACTGGGTGCTGAGCATTATTAGCTGCCGGAACCATTTAAAATGCTGTGTAACAAGGACTATTTGCGCAAGCTACATGTGCAAAAGAGAACGCGTATACGGAACCAAATGGATATTGGTGATACCGTTTATGCGCGTAAATGTGGTACATGCTCGCAAACAGGACACGACCGTCATAAATGTCCTTCAGCTGGTTTGGGTGGCGGTGGTAATCCAGCTCTTGGTGCAAGTTCGTCTAATGTACCCAACTATCAAGGATACACGTAGTGTTTTGTTTTCGTAATGTTTTTTGTAATAAGTGTTTGTACTTGTTTATGTTGCAAGATGTATCAAATAAAATTATATTTCCACAGCCTTGTTACATCTTATTGATATTTAAAATTTTTTAGTTGAGTAAATTAATAAATTTCTCCTCCCGTTCATGTAATCAAAAATAGTATTGGATTAAAAAACGGAAAATTTTAACGTGCACTTTCGAGTTTCACTCTAAAATTATTATAAAACTACACTGTCAGAGGAGGAAGATGTTTGACAAATAAGTGAATATATATATATATAGCGCGGTTAAATACTACATTTTGTGTGTTGTCATGTCGATCTGAAAAGCTGCCCGACTGCGAAAAAGCTGTTTCGTTTCAGAAAAAATCTTTAACACTCCAAGTATAGCGCAGTTAAATACTACGTTTTGTGTGAATATATATAGCGCTGTTAAATACTACGTTTTGTGTGTTGTCTTGTCGTTCTGAAAATCTGCCTGACTGCGAAAAAGTTGCTTCGTATCAGAAAGAATCTTTAACACTCCAAGCATAGCGCGGTTAAATACTATGTTTTGTGTGAATTTATATAGCACGGTTAAATACTACGTTTTGTGTGTTGTCTTGTCGTTCAGAAAAGCTATCCGACTGCGAAAAAGTTATTTCGTATCAGAAAGAATCTTTAACACGCCAAGCATAGCACGGTTAAATACTATGTTTTGTGTGAATATATATATATATATAGTGCGGTTAAATACTACGTTTTGTGTGTTGTCTGGCCTATAAATAACGGGCGCATTCTACTTATTTTCTGCGCTTAACCATAACAAATAGCAAAACTTTCCATAAAAGTAGGATTTTTTTCTCACTTTAACAAATGTCTGAGCGCTTGTATGTACCAATGTGCCAAATGTTGTATGATGGCGACCGTTGGGATGACGGTCAAGTTGGGCGCAAATACTGGATATGTGTGAACAGGCTTGGAGGCAACAACGGAAATTTTTGCAATTTTGACGTATGGATAGAAGAACCCTGTCAGCAGGAATGCTACAAACAATCTTTGCAGCATCTTCATGATTTGACCAAAAAACAGTGGGCCTATGAACGAGAATACAAACGAGAAGTTGCGGAGTTGAAGGAGAAACTCAAAGAGGTGGAAGAAGAAAAAAATAAGTTGGAAGAAAAATTTAAGTGGTTGGAGCAGAGAATACTAGGCGGTCGTGACTAAACAATGACATGTATTATTGAGTGTAGTAGT